CTTGCCCGCCCCTTATCCCCCCGACTCGGCGACGTCGCGTCGGGGAAATTCCAGATAGTCTTTCTGGCTTTGGCCGAGGCGGGGCGGGGCGGGACGGGTGGGCGACAAACACGCTGAGCCAGAAGGGTCCTTGTTTACCGCGGAGCGTGAGCATCTGCAGACCTCCCGACCTCCCGACCTCCCCGGGGAGAAAGGGGATGCACCCCGGTGAGTCAGCGCCAGCTGGCGAGTGCAACGGAGTGCAACCGCACTGACAGAGAGGCCACTCAGCATGTTTGTCTTTCTGGATAAATTTTTACGTGCCGGCGGCAGGATAAGAACATGAATTACACAAATGCGTGACAAATGGTATAGACTTTCCTGCACAATGCCTACGCCTCTCCCAACGTTTAATGTCTTTATTTCCCCCTGATCGTTCTAATCGCTTCAACGCGAAAGAAAGCACGAAAAGGCGCTTATCTCGACTGTCTCAGCTCAGCAGGGGGCGAAAATCAAGACGCAGTATTCGGGGAAAATATCTCCGTGAATCGCACCCCTCCATATTAGCTCGGACTTTATGTATCAGAAGAAAAAAATGGCGGTTTATCGTATCCGAAGGTTATCTTCAATCGTTACATTGCCGGCGGGCACCGAGTTTGAACCCTAGCCGCCCCGGCGACCGAAAAGAGAGGCCCCGTTATGCTAACAGCTAACAGCAGCCATCGAAAATATAGACAATTTATACATCAAATGCGTCGAAACACTCCGATAAAAGACACCTCTCGCAATGCCACTTTCCACAATTGTACCATTATACAACTAGGTTATTATTTTTATCTTTACTCTGTCCAATAGGCGTTACAGATAGTATCTTATTTTTTGCTAAATCTTCAAAGTATTCATAACCTCTTCTTTTAAAGACAAGTTTTTAAGTTGTAGCTGAAACAGTTATTTACCTCTTTGGGGTAGAAGGGCGCCTGCAGCGACACGCAGATTGCGTTGCAGAAGTCGGCTATGCTGAACACGATCAGCGTCAACCACTGGGTCCGCGTGAACCGCGGCAACTTGATCTTGGGGATCATCTTGGGGAGCGGCCGGTCCGGCGAGGACTAAAACGGGAGGATAAAACACACCACGACGTCGACCCGCGGACGCGACGAGGTTGCCCGGCTGTGCAGCCACCCGGCGGAGGGCGTCGTCGGGGAGGTGCGGACGGACAGCGGCTCAAAGCATTTTTCGCCGCGACGACGACGACGAGGACACGGTGTTCCGCTGCGCCCCAGGTCGGTCACGGGGTCCGTCTCGAGAGAGCGGCGTGCTGCTGCTGCTGCTGCTGCTCCTGCTTCTGCTGCTGCCCGGCGGCCTCACCCTGCGCGTCACACTGACTGACTGCGACTCGGCTCGCCCCGGTCCAGGCGCGTCGTCTGCTACGTGTCGTCTGTCGGGCCGCCTGCCGCCTGTCACGGCCCGGGAGATGACCATCACCACTACCACTACCACCACCACAGCCTCCGCCGGGGCGGCCCCGCCGGACCAGCCCGGACCCGGACGAGAAAGGGACCTGAGACGAGACGTCCCCTTGTATTTGCTCCCTGGCGAGTTGAAAAGGTTATGCCTGGGGCGGTTCGTACTTGGTTGAACAGAATTCCGGGGTGACTTATGCCCCCCCCCCTCCCAAAGCCTCCCTGTTTCTGTTTCTGTTTCTGTCTCTGTCTCTCTCACTCTCTTCCT